CTTTCTCAAATTATTTGTTTCGGGTTATTTTAAATTATTTTAATTTATCTATTATTTTCTATTCTATTATCATCACCCATCATTCAAGAAAAATATTCAATAAATTAAATTTTATTAGAAATCCCATCTTATCTATAGATCCGCCCTACTAATATTATATTATCAGATTTCTCTTTTACTTTACTCTAATTTATTTTGATAAATTTTATTCCTATCCTATAAGTTTTTGCTCAGCAACCTTATCTTATTAGAAAAATCTTATTAAATCTTGTATTCTAAGATAATTTATTCTTTTCTCTTGTCACGCTATTTAGCTTAACTTGCCAGGCATATTTATTTCTATTCTACCAGATTTTCTTGCCAAGCATATTTCATTATTTCATTTTTATTTTATTGGAATTTATATTGATTTTTCTTATCTTATTTTATTTTGATCTCGTATCCTTGCCCAATCCCACCCGCGCCCTTACCTGCCCCAATCATTTTATTTTATCTTCTTTCTATTCTATATTCTCCAAATTTATTTCTAAGTGAAAAATAGAATCAAAAATATATAATATAGATAAAGAAATTGAAAAAAAACCGAATTCTGAAAATATATTGAATATAAAACGAACTATATAGAATATAAATAGAAAATTATATATATATATATATATAATTGAAATATTTCGATATTATTCTTGATATAATAAAATAGGCAAATCGCGATAATAGTAGATATTCTATTCTTTCGAGTTCTCCCTTATTTTAGATATTCAATCTACGACCTTATTAGATCCTCATGCCCCCATTTTTCAATTTCATTATGATAGATTTTTAATAATCATCAATTGATTTCAATAGGATGCAAAAGTATTGGTCTCAAATAATTGAAAATTCGATTAATTGAATATCTATTTTCTATAGATATTTTCATATTCCAAATATGGAGAAATCAAAAATATGAATAAAAATTAAAATATATTCTTATATTTATTTGTTTTCGATATTATATATTTTCAATGTTTTTAATTTAATCTGTTATATTTCAGTCAGCCAAACGGCGTTGGTGGAGATATGTAGCTGAGCCGGAACGTCCGAGTATTTTTCCACGAACGGTTTAAGTTCCATCCAAACAGCTTTAGCCAAGTCAAGCTTCCTAGTGTCATATTTCGTAGCAAATTCCACACTGATACCCGCTCGAGGCGAACGGGTGACGACCTTCGCAATGGTTCCAGCACTGCCTGAACAGCCTTGCGATATCAGGCGCACAGGACTTGCCACGAACACTCGCCTTGGCCGTCCTCCGGAACCGTTTAACTGTGCAAGCAGCACCCTCGGATTCAACGACTATGCTCACATGGTCCGAAGAATTCAGAACGGCCAAATGTTCAAGAAAATCCTGACTGAATCCCCGGGGAGCCCCTTGCGTAGCACCGTCTGATGGCAGGACCGGCAACATGCAAGACTGTTGTCTCTTCGCAACTTCACGCTCCAAAAGCAAAATGCCATGAACAGCTAGCAGAGCTGAGCAGCCAACGTGCGAATCTGTTGTACTATCCTCTCTAGCCAGCTCAATCGCCGTTGCACACTACAGGCAAACGCTTATGTCACGCCCATGTCATGCCTGGAGGCTTTCCCCCCACTTAAACGCAGCGTAACGAGAGTCATGCCTAAGTCATGCCTTTCGCTCTTCCCCCACCTAAACGCATGTGCAACGGATTCGAAAAATACCCGAAAGAATAAACTAAACGAAGCTCTTCTTTGGTGATAAGTTATAAGTAGATACAGACAGCAAGCACATTTGGCAGTCAAGCCCCAAGTGAACACCTGGTTTCAGGCGGACACAAGCAGCAATGGACCAAATCAAGCCCTTCTCACGCGATATGTCAAAAATTAGGAAGCTTTATCGCAAGCACCAAGCTTTCGGAAGCTTTATCGCCACTGAAACCCTTTAGGAAGCTTTATCGCAGGCCCCAAAACGCTTTAGGAAGCTTTATCGCAGGCCAAAAAAACCGTTTAGGTCGACATGGATTTGTAAGCGGTGGCCCAATCCTAGCAGTAGCAGTAGCAAGTAGCAGTAGCAGTACCTCGCACGGTGAAGAGGGTACATGCAGGAAGCAGGCCCGTCGCTTCCCCCTGCCTCCCATAAGCTCCACACGGGCCTCTCCCGTCGTGCTCGTCTCCCGAACGGCGGTGGAAGTAGTAGCAATAGCAGCAGCAGAAGAAGAGGTAGCAGGAGCAGTGGCATTGACAGTCGCTACACAGGTTTTGGCCTGATTCATGAAATTCATACGTCTGTGTCAGTGCGCTTCCGGCGCACCTGGAGCCAACCCTGCCCGTAAAACACCATCTGAACACAAGCACGACACACCACTGAAAGGTTTGGGTCTTCCACCCGCCACCGCACAAACCCCATCTAAACGCAGCCAAATACAGAACATCGAGATCTTAAGATCTGTATGTGGGATGGGGCGAATCACCATGTAAGGGCTTGAAAGGCACGACTTCCAAGGATCCTTTCCCCCAATGCTTGCAAGCAATCTAACAAACCGGGCACGACTTAAGCAGTTTCCTGTACCCTGTTGGTCTTCAAGCTTGCGAAATCGTTCCTTAAGATGCAAGCATCTATGTTCTATTCCCGCTGAAGCTCACAGATGTGACGACTCAACACCGACCACGTGGAACTCGAACTGAGATTGTCACTCGGTCGGCCGCCTGATCTTGAGGCAACTCCATCCGCCGGCCCAAACTGGGCCAGATCTGCGCAGCCTACAAACGCTACAAGAAAGCCCTAAGTCGTGAAGTTTTCAAAATTACTCCACATTCCAAATGTTATGCTGCAATGATGCTGGAAGAGACACGTGTCGCCTCCTAAAAGCAAGAAAAAGCACATGTCATGATGCGATTTGCAAACCCTTTCTGTTCGAGCAGCTTTGCGGCTAGATGTATAACATGGAATACATAATGCGTTAGGAAAGAAATGTAAAGCGTGCTTGAGCTAGCACAAATAGCAAACTCTCCTCCATTTTGATGAACTGGGCTGATTGAAAGTCTTCAGGAATGATTTGAAGAACTGCTAGAAAGGGCGGCCTCGTTTCTGAACCGCAACTTGCGACGCCAAGAGCGGTTAGGATGCGTACAGCAAAAGTGTTTGGCTTCGTCAGACTCCCGCGTTCCACGTGTGTCTTCAGCCCTCATCGTCACCCCTCGTCACCCCTTGAACCTGCGCTGCTGGCACGTGCAGGAGTTGATTCGACTGCACTCAAGAAGAATGCTTGGAAAATGGTTGAAAAGATCGTCGCCACTCTACAACTGCTTAGATGCAAGAAGCTTCCACACGGTCTTGACGGCCGGAGCAAACCGACCAAGAGCGCAGAGCCGAATGACACGCTGCACATCAAGGTCATGCTTGCTCAGGTCGAGCTGTTGCTCCAGGAACTTCACAATCTCCAACAAAGGGGTCCTGCATCATCGGAACATAAACTCTCGCCCCGAAACACAAACGACACGGCGAAGCAGAAACGTCCTGGTCACGACCGATTCGAAAGTGACTGCGTGAGGCTGGCAAAGGAAACGTTGTCCCAGTCGACCAGCTTCCGCGCTAAGCCAAATCTCCTCGGCGGGGACCCAGACCGCTGGAGCAAGGTCGGCATTGGAGATGTGGCCCTTCCACGGAGCCTTGCTGTTCAGATCCAAGGACAATGGGTCCAGGGACAGCAACCTTGATAGGTGCTCCGAAGAACGTGGGGTTTTTGCCACGACTCCCCCCTTTTTGAGATGGTCCGTAGCCACCCGCATGACCTGGGTAGCTTCCCATCTTTTTGGACAATCTGTGGCCGCGTGCTCGAAATGGCACATATCGAAGGCCAGGTCCAGCAGCCCTTGGCGGACTCTTTCCGATTCACCTCAGCACCGCTGGCATGCTATGAGAGGACACAGTCATGATTTGCCAACTATGATGATGATACTGTCTTAATCGCATAGTTCGCCCGTTTCTAATCAATATCATTCTGGTGAGGTGAGGCGCAGGTGCAGCTCGCGAAAATTGCCCTCTCTGCGAGGACGCAAACGAAGGACTTAACGTCCAACGTAGGCACTCGAGCAATGTGGCGGATGTAGTCCTCGTCGGATGAGAGTGTCAAAGATGACTGGGGTGTAAGCTTCTCTTTCACGCGGGCGATGGATGCTGCCACCCGTTCACGCCCATCAGGAGTGCTTCGGACCAACTCGACCATACGTGGGTCGTTTGTCAAGCAAAGGCCATCCCCATCCGAGTCACCACCAGACGCCTTCGTGACCGTGTCCTCCTCCCGGTTGCAGATAACGGTGTTGCGGGGGAAATTTCTGGCCTGCGGCGGGGGTGCCTTGGCTTCCCACAATCGTACATCCGAAGGAAGCAGTACCGGGAAGCGCCAGACCACAAACCACCCTTCCAACCACCGCTCGCCAGCGAAAACATGACACTGCCCGGACTTCAGCGTGTTCCAAGGATCGCTGGCCGCCGTGACCGTCACACTGTCACCTTCAAAGGGCAGTCGTGGTTTCGCCAAGAACTCTTTGTGCATGGACTTTAAACGCATGCCCCCAAGTTTGAGCGCATACTTGGTGCCATGTCCCAGAGTCCACGGGGCGTGCTCTGGAGCCTCCTGCGTCAGCACAGCCGCGGAGGTGGGGAAGGCGATATTGTCGTGGAACTTGAGAACAACGCGGTCCGACGGCGTGCGCATCTGCGCCCAGTTCAGGCCAGAACTGGCTGAGGTGTGTGGGCCGCCCAGGTTCCATGCTTCTTTCACGATGATGGCCTTCTGCCGCTGTCGGCCGCTTTCCAAAAGGGCATCGAACTTGGCCAAAGCGTCATCTCGTGCAAGCCCACCCGGCAGCAGGTGGCACCGCATCCACAGTGCGGTAGCAAGTTGGCTATTCAATGTAGGCGGAGATTGTGGCTTGCAAGTTGTTGCCACGACGTCAAAGCCATACTGGGGTTGTCCTGTCCAATCAGCATCGCGCACTAAAACTTACTGCAGCAGAGCACCTGCCCGCCTGAACTCACAAGTGAAATCAAAAGACCACAGTCCTGCTGCGCGGGGAAGGCGCACCTTCACACAACTCTCGTACAGAACGATCTCCCGGTCCAGCGACTCATTGAGCCCCACCATGCCCTTGGCCACCACATCCAAGTCTTCGCCGACTGGTAGCAAGCACCGATGCTGCATGAGCGAATAAAACCCACCGCGAGGGTTTAGGTTCAGCTCATACATCAGCGCAGGTCCGACTTCACCCCAACCGTCGGTGGTTTTTTCGCCATCTTTGTTTACGATATCTGGCACCACTCGGACCTTCACGTCAGGTGGAAGTGAAAGTGGCGTGGAAGGGGTGAAGAGCAGCGGCACCCTTGCATATATCTCGTGCAAGAAGCTGCCTGACTTCAGAATCCGCCCAAACGTGGTCCGAGCAGAAATTTCCTGCATGATGTTGGTTGGCAGGTAGTACAAATGGCCATCTTTCCCGCCGACTGCAAGCAACTCCGGTGGGAATTCGGAGCAGTCCCTGGCCCACCTCGCTAAGTGTGGTGGCTTGCAGGAGAGCGAACCGAAGTCGAAGGAGAAGAACGGGCATTGGGACTCCTGACTAAACTCCCGGCTCGTACGGCAGTCACGGTCCGGGCGCAACACGGGCGTGATGGCTTGAAATTCCTCCTGCAGGAGAGCGTCCGGATGGAGTGGGCCTTGAGTGCGTTTCTTCTTTGCAGCCTTAGTCTCGCCCTCCCGCAAGTAAATGTAGACGCCCGATGTTCGAAGAGCCTCCGCCCTTTCGGCTGGGGAGGACTCCCAGAATGCTTCGAACACCTTACATCAAAAGGAACGGTCACTAAGTCACAGCCAACACACAGAAAGTTTGGCATGTACACACTGTAAAGCATATACGTTCTACAAAGCACCTGTCCAGCTCCATCAGCCATCTGATCGCCCCGGTGCTGCATCAGCCGCGTTAAATTGATGCTGCTCATGAGTTCAAAGTGCCCAGGGCATTGTTGAAAATCACCCGCAACCTCCTGACACCGGCGCCGCTAACATGAGCTTCACAAGACGATCACAGCAGAGGTGCAAGATATGCAAGAGAATGCCACACAGCATGACCGGTCCTTTTCGGCTTCGACTCCAGAACACAACACTCGTAGGAAAGCTTCGTCGAGATGGATGGTTGTCTGCATTGCGATAAGCTGCAGAGAGTGGGCTGAAAGGCTGAAATCCAAGGTGGACAGAGCAACAATAGCTGCGCTTGTTGTCATAACTCGAAGAATCGCATGCGAAAGTGGCGCACAACAGCTACCCAAAGTATTGGCGTGATTTTGAAAACTTCGGGGTTGGTGTTTAGGAAGCAGGGCCGCGGCAGGGCACGACGTTTACCTGCCAATTTACGCATCGTTTTGCCTTTGGGTCAGCGTACATAGAACACAGCAAACATCCTTTCGGCGACCCTGTTTGTGCTTGTGCCGACACTCCGCAGCTCCTGCTGCGTAAGCCGTCCACGAATTGCTGAGACTGAACCGGCCAATGAAGAGACACGTCCTAGTAGTACATGCAGAAAGGGCCGCAGAGCTCTACCCTGCCACAAGGCCCCTCGAAAGTGCGAGAGGCATGATTGCAAGCATTTACTACTGCCGCATTGCTGAATTCCTGCGCATGAAAATGCCATGTACCCAATCCTTTAATCCCGGCTGCACAGCTCAATTCCGTGAGCTATTTTTTTTAACTCCTTCCTTTTTGAGCTCGCACCACGGATGCCCCTTCCTGTCCGGACCAGTGCGATTTGGCATATGACTGTGGCGTGAAAAGCAACTGCTCCGGCATGTTGGGTCCTTTTCCTATATCCTAAACCCGACAAACAATCAGCACGGCGAGACCGGACGTGAGTTTCATAACTCGCAGAATGCAGCCGCAAAAAGTTGGCGAGAGTTCTGTGCTGTTGGACCCCCAAAGCGGGGGTTAATGCGGTTTAAGAGCAAGGCTTTTACCCAGGCGGGTAATAGTCCAGCTCCCAAAACAGGCGCCCTTTTAGATTCCGCGCTCTACCGGACTTAACACCACCCACCTGTGCCGAAGCAACCCCGGTGGGGGCCGAGCATGGTGTTCGCTCTCCAGACCGCCCAGAGTTTCACCCGTGGGTTCATCGACTCCGAGCACATTACACATGTAGTGACCGGCCGATAAAGACATGTTTGCTGGCATGCACACATGTCTTGCATTTAGCGCTGATTGTGGCACTGTTCTGCAAGCGACACACCTTTGCTTCACTCAGTCCGAGCAAAGCGGACATATGTGCGTTCCGAACACACACATGTGTGTGTTTTCGAAACGCATATGTGTGTTCCGGAGCACACACACACACACATGTGTGTTCCGATAACACACATGTGAGCCACACATATATGTATATATACATAAATGTAATTATGGTAGACGCCGGAAAGTTGGAAGGCGGCAATTGGAACGGTTGATGCGGCAAGGGCATCTTCCAACTTTGGGTCTGGCTGGGTCCCATCTTCCAAGTGGTGCAAGCATAAGAACAAGGGTTCACGGCAAGCACGTCAAAGTAATCGGCTGCCGCAAGGACCCGTGCCACAGCTGAGGTGTCCGGTTTCTCCATGGCTTGTTGATTTGTATGTAAGGAGCCGTCGAAGACACTACCTAGCCTGCCCGGAACGTACAGCTGCAGCCTTCGCGAGCCCCGCAGGCCATGCAAGCATGCAGAAACTGGCGTCAAACACGCGTTCTGCAAGCATAAGCGCCACTAACACTTGGACCCCTGACTTTCGACTAGGTAGGTTCTGGACCCGCGCGACGCGCTGGCGACCAGCACTTTGCCAAGTGTTGCTTGCGAGGCACTTCCTTCATAGCCGTGGGATTTATTGAAATACTTACCGGTTTGTGCGTCCGCAGAGAAACACATGTGTGTGTGAGCGAAGAACAACAGAGGAACATGTGCATCGCACGAGCAGTGGCTAATAGCACTTGTCCTTTGTGTGCTTTACATACACACATGTGTATGTCGGAAGCAGTACTTGGCTGGACCCGCGTCACACGCTGGCCAGCAGGGGCTTGCCAAAGCTTGCCTGCCAATCCGAGTCGAAGCTGTGTCAAGCGCGGCTAAATCTAGTCACGCATTTTTTTCGAACTTTGGGCGTTTTTTGGTCGTGCCCTAAGGAATGGCCTCGACTCGGAATTTTGTGCTTGTTGGCATATGGCTTTACACTGAAATACCAACTTGTCGGCGTTTTTGGGTGGTTGCATACATCCTAAACCCAAAAACCCCAAGGCAACACTTGAGCATTTCATCCTTCGAAAAGAAGAATAAAAAAATTGGCGAGAGTTCTGTTTATTCAGGAGTGCCTCCACAGCCATTGCTGGAGCACACGCACACAACCTCCGCCAGCATGGTAGTTGACGTGCCCGGCTCCGCCTCCTACCCGCTGCAGTAGGCGGTCGGCCACGGGACACGTCGCCATGCAGGCGGAGGTTGTTGTGCATGTTTGCTCCAGCAATGGACAGGGAGGTCCCCCGGGGATTTAACCTCCACCCGGGCTCGAGGGCCACGAGTTAACGTCGCGGGGCGTCCGACGACCTACTGCGTGTCACCACGCAGTAGGCAAGCGTGATGGGACCTGCAAGCAGTGACGCTGGGCGGCAAGCGGGCACCCAGCGTGTACTTGCAGGCTCCCTTTTACGTCCGCGCTCCGCCGGACGGTCACCCCTGCCTAGTTCAAGGCTGGGGCCGAGCATGAAGTTTAGAGCCCGCGCTCCCCGGACTTTGCGACGAGCAGAGCAAAGCTTGCAATACATGCCATAGGACTGCCGTCGCGGCATTGGCACAAGAATCGGAACACAGATGTGTGTTCCGAGAACACACATGTGTGTCGCGCAACCACACATGTGTGTTCCGAGAACAAACATGTGTGTTCGGGGAGCACGCATGTGTGTTTTCAATAACACACATGTGTGTTCCGAATAATTACAATTATACAGCGGAAACACACTTGTGTGTTCCAAACGCACATGTGTATATGAGAAACGCGTTAATAGCGGGCCAGAAACCAGAGGCATCGAAAGGGCTCCCGAAACTGGTCGATTTCTAAATAAGCCGCTAATACAAAAATTCAATTTTGCATTCCCGGCTGGGCAGTCCCAGAACCTTCATATGTGCTTTCCCACGCTGCAGACGCGTGCCTGCGTGTGTGCGGGTCAGGACTGGGTCGCTTTCAGAAGACTTATACGCCAGCCCCCGTTTCCACAGCCGTGAGGACCGTAGCGCCCATGTCGTACCCGGTACCGGGAAAGTTGTCCCGTGGACCAGCAGTGGTATTTGATAAATTCATAATATATCCTAAACCTCAAGTTTTGAGGATACATGATAACGGCGGGCATGCGGCTGGCGGCGGCGATGGCGGGCACCCTTTTACGTCCGCGTCCGCACTGCCGTCGCGGCATAGGTACTACTTGGAAGGGCAGGGGACTTAGTAAGTAGGTTATAAGTAGAGTTATAAGTACCCTAAATAGATTTACCCCAAGTATAACTTTGCTCATAACCTACTTACTAAGTCCCCTGCCCTTCCAAGTATAGTCGTGCGGTGGTATACGGGGGGCAGCGGGGGCGACCTACGTGGGTGTTTATACGACTTCGGGTTGATAAACTCGTGCGTCCTCGCGCGTTCCGCATCCCTGGTGCTCCTCGCGTCGCGCATTCCACGTCCCACGTGCCTGCGCGTCAATCCGTCCGTGTCAAACATCCCGCGTCCTTCGTTCCCGCATCGCACATCAGGCATCCCACGTCCCGTCCGCGTCCCGGCGTGCCTCCGCGTGCCACATCCCGCACCCCACGTCCCTGCGTCACGCATGCCTCCGCGTCACTCGTTCCCGCGTCCCGCGTCAAACATCTCGCGTCCCTCGTTCCCGCGTCGCAAATCGTGCATCCCCCCGTCCGCATCCCGGCGTGCCTCCTCCCGCACCCCACGTCCCTGCGTCACGCGCACCGTCCCTTTCGGCGCCGAAAAAAATACGTGCTGAAGCCACGGTTTAGGATAGGTATGTGCGACAATGCAAACGCTGAAAGCATGGCAGCACGGGACAGGCAAAGTCCCTGCGCCGGGTTCGTTTTCGTCAGCAGCGCCTACCATGACATTAGACAGCATGAATGGCAAGCACGGGACAGGCAAGGTCCCTGCGCCAGACAAATTTCCCGGCGGATAACGGTGAAAGCATGGCAGCAAGGGACAGGCAAAGTCCCTGCGCCAGGTTCGTTTTCGTCAGCAGCGCCTACCATGACATTAGACAGCATGAATGGCAAGCACGGGACAGGCAAGGTCCCTGCGCCAGACAAATTTCGCGGCGGATAACGGTGAAAGCATGGCAGCAAGGGACAGGCAAAGTCCCTGCGCCAGGTTCGTTTTCGTCAGCAGCGCCTACCATGACATTAGACAGCATGAATGGCAAGCACGGGACAGGCAAGGTCCCTGCGCCAGACAAGTTTCGCGGCGGATAACGGTGAAAGCATGGCAGCAAGGGACAGGCAAAGTCCCTGCGCCAGGTTCGTTTTCGTCAGCAGCGCCTACCACGACATTAGGCAGCATGAACGGCCAGCACGGGACAGGCAAGATCCCTGCGCCACACAAGTTTCGCGGCGGATAACGGTGAAAGCATGGCAGCACGGGACAGGCAAAGTCCCTGCGCCAGGTTCGTTTTCGTCAGCAGCGCCTACCATGACATTAAACAGCATGAATGGCAAGCACGGGACAGGCAAGGTCCCTGCGCCAGACAAGTTTCGCGGCGGATAACGATGAAAGCATGGCAGCACGGGACAGGTCAAGTCCCTGCGCCAGGTTCGTTTTCGTCAGCAGCGCCTACCATGACATTAGACAGCATGAATGGCAAGCACGGGACAGGCAAGGTCCCTGCGCCAGACAAGTTTCGCTGCGGATACAGACAATCATTTGTAGGATGGAATCAGTGGATTATGATAGTGGAACAGCAAGAGCCAACGGAAGCAGCAGGTCGGGCC